TGGTGTGCGGCTTTACGGGAAGTTAATTAGGGATGGGTGGAGGGACGGACTTGCCGGCTGCCCCAGCAAAAACCATCGTGTCCTCCCGGCAGGCATGCTCTGACCCCTCTGATTCTTCAGGCTGCGAATTCATCACAGAGCTTTTTCCGCTTTACTCATTTTCTTTGCCGGTCCTTCCCCAGTCCCGGGGCTGGTTTGGCCCCGGAGAGCGTCAGCGAGGGCAGGGGCTGGTTTCAGGCCTCGTGGGGTCACGGTGCCGGTCGGCCGTGCCGGGTAGGAAGCAGACCTTGTTGGGTTTGGGGAGCAACACGAGAAAACCGGCAATTCCGGTTCCTTCTGGACGCGTCTCCTTCAACCGTCCCGCCGGGCACCGCTGATAAATAATCGCGGCAGCAGCGCTGCCTCCTGCACCGAGGGGCAGCCGGTGCCAGCCGGGCAGGAGTGTGCCCCTCCTCCCTCCCGCCCTTCCACGGAGCTTTGGGCTTTTCGATGGGATTTTACCCCACGAGGGCGCAGCTTCACTGGCAGTGGCAGGGATGCTGTGGGCAGAGCTGTGGAAGGGGCAGGCAGTGGTCACTCTCCGTTAGAGCTCCCCCCCGGGCTCGCTGGCTGGTGGTCACGCTCGCCACCCAGAACTGACCTTTTTTTTTTCCAGCAACTGATGGAAAAACTGTCCTAAAAGAGCTTTCCCCTAGTGTGGTTTCCCACTTTGGATGTGAGAGCAAAACTGTTCCAATGTCAGTATGTGGGTATTGATCTGCCTTTTATATCTAATTATAGCAGCAGCGGAGACAGCCTCTGGTCACCTTTGTATCACAGGGGTGCTGGTGGCACGTCCCCTCCGTGTCCCTTTGCTGGCTGAGGATTTCACCCCACCCTGGAGAACAGTGCTGCCGGAGCAGAGTGCCCATCTCCTTGCCCCCCACGAAGGCCGGGGCAGTGCCTGCGGGCACAGGGAGGAGCTGCTGGCCCTGGTGCAATCCCAGCTGCTCGCAGGTGACGTGAAGGTCACCTGCTTTCCCTGAAAATGCTTTTTGAGGTCTTGTGTCAGGGTGATGCAGATGTCTCCTGTTGGAGCAGCCACACTGGAGAGGTGGGAAGCCACTGTCGCACAGCGGGTGCTTGCTCTGCAGCCTGATTTGCCCTTTTTTTTCAGCCAGATTTTGCTTTCCTTAAACAAGAAGGTTAAAAATCCAATGAGCTCCAGAGCCGCCAGGGATACGAGGTGTGTGATTGCTGAGTGGTGCTTTGCTGATGTAATTTGGGAAGGAGAAGCGTTAGGAAGGGAACTCCAGAGCAGCCGTTTCCAGTTCAGCTGATCGGGCAGCCCTCACGCTGCCCAGCCAGGGAGGTTTCCAGCTGGATGTCCTGCTGCCAAAAAATCACTCCTCACCATGGCATCGTGCCAGGACCCAGCATCCACCTGCCAGGTGGGAATCGTGGCCCCACGGGATGCTGGAGCTTTGGGGAGCTGTGGGCGGGGAGGATCACGCTGTAATTAAAAGCAGCCTGGAAAGAAAGGGTGGATGTAAACTAGGCTCCTTAATTTGGGCACTTTGATCTCGGCTTTAGTCACCGGCCTGGTACGTGAGGGCTGTGAGTAACACGTCAGAGCTGCACCCGTGTGGGCTCCCATGGCCCACGGCCGGGCAGGTTTTGGGGTCAGACCCCCCACCAGCAGGGCTGGGGCTGCGCCGCTCCCCGGCAGTGGTGGGGAGCCGTCCGCCCGTGGCATGAACGTTTTGACCAGGCTTGTTGTGTGCCTGTGGTGGCACCTGGGACCTGCCCATCTCCAGATGTGCTGATGATGTCCCAAGAGGCCAGGTCGAGGGAGAACCTCCCCGTTTTGGAGCTGCCCTCCGCAGCCCAGCTTTGCTAGGCAGCCAGCAGGGACATCCAGGGCACCCATGCCCATGCTGCAGCATCGTCCCGTGCCCATCCCTGGTCCCACCATCCCCTTTTTGTGGGCCTCCTGGCCAGCCTGGGGTTTGGAGCCAGTGAAAAGACACCTGAGCCAGCAGCCCCGGGGGAATGGCATTGGTTGAGTGCCACCGTGGCTTATTTGGGACTATGCTGGATGTGGTGTCTCCATTGTGATGGGGCTGTGGGTGGGCCGGGGGCTGCCCTGCACGGGTCCACTCCTCTGTGCTGGATGTAAAATGGCTCAGCTGAAACCTCAGTGCTGAATCACCAAGGATGAAACCAGTCTCTCCAGCACCTCCTGGGCTGAATTTTGGCTGGTTGGGCTGGAAATGAGATTACGGGCGATAAATGCAATAAAACCAGGGAATTACAGCCTGGTTTTGGGACATGCCAGCTGGGTCCCAGCCCCATCCCTGTCCTGGGCAGTGCCAGGCGGCTGAGCTCTGGTCCTCTGGGGCTGGCTCCAGGCTTTCAAGTGGCCGTGGAGCTGCTGGCAGCTCTGGGAGAGGCAGCAGAGCTGTAAGTTGCCGGGCACTCCAGGCTCGTTAACCTTTGGGGATAAGAGGATTACAGCGAGTCACTGGCTTAACTCCGCTGCTGCTTTATGGCCCCACATGGCAGGGTGGCACCGGGGCTTCCCCAGCATGGGAAGGGCAGAGCCAGCCCCTTCTCCCAGCAGCTGGGCTCAGCATTTTGGGACAGGGTCACTTTTTGGGATGAATTCACAGTCTTCCCATATCTGGCTCATGGGCTGGAGCTGTTTTGGACTCGTTTGGGGTGGATTTGGTGCATTGCCACCTTTGGCATCGCCCCTTTGGCACGGCATCAGGCTCCTCCTGCATCAGTCAGGAGCACTCAGGAACTCAGCGGAGGGTTCCTCCTCGCCCAGGAAGGCACCTTGATTTGGAGGCGTCCCTGTTCAAGCAGCCGTGTCGGAGCAGGTGCTTTCCCCAGGAGGGGAGATAAGATTTTTATAAGGTTTTACAGCTTGTAGGGCGTCAGGGAGGGACCAGGTTTCTCTTCCGGCTCGGGTGCCGGCGGCGGGGCCGCTTCCTTCCTTCCCAGCTGGGACCTTTTCCTTCAAGGGCTCCTGGATGTGGGCGCAGCCCAAGTGCTGCTGCGAGGGTAAAGCAGCTCAGCTCAGCCTGCAGGGACCTGAGGAGGACGAAGATCCTCACAGATCACAGCAGCTTGGCTTTGCAGCCCATCACCGCGTGGGAGATGCATCCGACCCCTGTCTGGGGTCGTCATTTAGAATAAACTCATAATTTAAAGTGTGCTGTGATCAAACACATCAAAATAGAGATAATCCTCCTCTGACAATCACATTGCTCTGGATTTTTGCTCTGTTAAAGTCAGCATTGTGGCTGCCACTCCCTCCTTGCTTGGGGGCTGCGTTTGCACACGGCAGCGTCGTCAAAATAACACCCCACCACCCCCTGGTTCAAAGGCTCCTTGTGATTAGAGAAACAACCCTGGAATTTGGCATCTTGCTGTTGTGCTTTAATGCTCCCCAGGCACAGCACTGAGTTCAGGCTGCAAAAATGCCGAAATTTGCTTCCCAGGGCAGGGAGGAAAGAGGCAGCAGCAGCAGCGCAGTCGGTAGTGGCCCAGCTGTTGATGTTTTAATGGGCTGCTCTGATTGCAGATAAAAAAAATTCTTGATGTGTCAGAAATGGCTTTGAGGTGACAAATACCTTATAAAATTCTGGGTATGCTCCAAAAGCACCAGTGCTTCACTGGGAGGGGGGGAATGAGGTAGCTGCAAGGATCAGGCCGGGTCTGATGGCCGCCCTCTCCTCCTCTCCCAGGCCATCAGCATCAGCAAAGCCATAAACACACAAGAGGCCCCGGTGAAGGAGAAGCACGCCCGCCGTATCCTTTCCCTCTGCTTGCCTGGCTGATGCCCAGGAGATCCAGTGCTGAGGCAGGAGGGGTTTCCTCCCCTCCTCCATGGAGCCACAGCCGTGGAGGTTCTAGAGACAGGAGACCCCTGAAGAGCTTGGTTGGGAGGGGCACCATGTAGGTTCATCCATCAGTGGAAAGGCAAACAAGCACTGCCATAAAATTGCATTTCTTTAGCAGTAAAATGCAAAAGGTGTCAGCGTGCCCTGCAGCAGGGGAGGGTGCACCAGAAAAAAACCCAGATGGGGTTTTATCTTTGGGTGCAGCATCATGCTGGTGATCTTTGGGCCTGCAGTACGCTGGCTGCGTGTCCCCTTTTTAGTGGAAGTTGAACAGGAATAGTCCCCAGCCCAGCCTGTCCCCTGCTCCCTTTTGTGTCTGGTTGGCCTTGACCACGGCGAAGGGATCATCTTGGGGACACACCATGAGAAGGGAGCGTTCACCTTCTGGTCCTACGCCATTGGGCTGCCCCTGCCCAGCAGTGCCATCCTCAGCTGGAAGTTCTGCCACGTCCTGCACAAGGTCCTGCGCGATGGCCACCCCAACGTGAGTGTCCCCCCGACGCGTCCCTCCCGTGTGGCTGGAGGGTGGAAATTGTTGGCTCTCACTGACATCCTTCTGCAGAGGGGTGGGTTTCCTTCCCTGGCCTTTCCCAGGCTGCAGGGCGGTGGGGCACTCTGTTATCTCGCCTCTTTGAAACCTCCCCGTGCAAAATCCCTACCCCTGGTTGTCATTGAAAGGCTTGAACTTCCTCTCCCAAAGCTGGAGTGGCGTAAGGTGCTGGACCCATCTTCTTCCCCAGCTTCAGGACAAGCAGGCGGGTGCTTGCCCAGCTCCGTGCCAGCCCCACCATGCAGCATCTCTCACATTTTTGTCCCCAGGTCCTCCAGGACTGCCAGAGGTACCGCAGCAACATCCGAGAGACAGGGGACCTGTGGGTGAGTGGGGAGAAACAGAGGTTTGTGCCTTCTGGGAATTTTGCACAGAGGTTTGTGCCTTCTGGGAATTTTGGAAGTGGGTGCTGAAAAGCATCGGGGCACAGGGAGGTCAAAGCACCACCTGAAATAACCATTCATTGCTGCCCCCCCTGGTGATGGTTCCATGCATGGTGAAGGGCAAGAGCTGTAGGGCTGGCACAGGTTCACCAGCTTCCCTGGATCCAGTTGTGTTGCCCCAGATTCGCCACGTTTCCCCTCGTGTCTCTGGCAGGGCCATTTGCACGACAGGTACGGGCAGCTGGTGAACATCTACACGCGGCTCCTCCTCACCAAGATCTCCTTCCACATCAAGGTGGGACCCTCTGCCACCTCCTCACCCTCCCGTGCTGGGGGCACGGGGCTTCGCCAGGGGATCTGTTGCACCAGCAAAAATCTTAGCAGCAACTAGGTTGGTTGTTTCTTTCTTTGTTTGTTTGTTTCTAAAGCATCCCGAGTTCCCCGCGGGCCTCGAGGTGTCCGATGAGGTGCTGGAGAAGACTGCAGGGACGGATGTGAACAACATGTGAGTGTCCTGGCAGGAGCCCGGGTGGCAGCACCCTGCTCACGAAAGGGCTCCTGGGGCAGGGCATCCACCAGAGCTTTATAAAGTGGTCGGATGGTGCCTGATTCCTCCTGCCCCTGCAGAGTGGTGAGGAGTGTAACCACCAGGAGCAAACCCACCAGATTCTCGCCAGCCTGAGCCCTTGCTGGTGCAGAGTCCTGCAGCGAACGTGAGCGGATGGGGTGAGGATGTCTCTGCCACCAGCTGATGGGCTCTTGGGGTTTTTTTGGCAGCTTCCAGCTGACGGTTGAGCTGTTTGACTACCTGGACTGGGAGCTGAAGCTGTCAGAGTCAGGTGAGGAGGCGGCAGGTCCCTCCCACTCGCCCTGCGGCTCTTGAGCAATAGTTTCGCTCTTTGGTTGGGGAATGAAGTTCCTGCTGGGGAGGCTGAGGCCGGAGGCTCAGGTCCTTCCTCCTCCTCAGATGAGGTTTCTGGGGTGGTTTCTCAGCCAGATTCCCCTCGATGCTCTGTAGCGGTGGCTGTAGGAAAATATTTAAGGAATGTGGCTGGTTGCAGCCTACCTGAGCAGCACAGAGTGGTGTTTTCAGAGCAGTGCTGTTCTGAAATACCTTTTTACTTCTGTTCCATACAGCCATGTTAATCACATGTGTTACCCGAATCCTTTCTATCCCCCTGAAGCAGAGGATGGAGCTGTACCTCATTCTAAATACTCATTTCCCCTCATTGAAATACCTCCAGGGATGGCTTGAGGCCCCTGCCCGTGTTTGCTTCCCTAGTCTCCTTCTCTAGGAATTTTTAGATGAGTTGAAAATGTGGTGGTTTCTTCCTCCATGGTGAGCCAGGAACACGGGGCTGCCCTGAAAAACAGGGCACAGCAGGAGAGCCCGAGCTCCTGCTCCCGTCAGCCTCCTGCTTCTCCTCCTGACCCAGTTGTACTGAGAATTCATATTCATAAATACTTCAAAGCTGAGCGGGGAGGAAGCTGGAGTGGATATGCTGCCTGGATTTCTGCCAAGGGAAGGGATCTGTTTCCGAGCTGGGGCAGACAAGGCTGCGGTGCTGACGGGTTCATCCCCTGCCCTGGGATTCTCTCCCAGCTCCCTGCACGATTAAATGGAGCAGAGCAAAACCCCCCTGGCTCTGTCCTGCCTTTGTGTGCCCCAGGGTTAAATCCCTCCTTTTGGGGGTCAGGGTGTCAGGAGCGGAGCTGAGCATCCCCTACCTCTGCCACCATAGAATCATAGAATGGCTGAGGTTGGAAGGGACCCTAGAGATCATCTCATCCAACCTCCTGCCATGGGCAGAGATGCCTCTGAACTAGACTAGGTTGGTCAAAGCATCATCCAACCTGGCCTTGAACACCCCCAGGGAGGGGCATCCACAACCTCTCTGGGCAATTTATTCCAGAGTCTCGCCACCCTTGTACTTAAGAATTCCTTCCTAAGATCCAGTCTAAACCTACTCTCCTTTAGTTTAAAACCCTTTCCCCTTGTCCTGTCATTGGACACTCTTGTGAAAAGTCCCTCTCCAGCCTTCTTGTAGTCTCCCTTCAGGTACTGGAAAGCATTTCTGAAAGACTGAAAGCACAGTCTTCTCTTCTCCAGGCTGAACAACCCCAGTGCCCTCAGCCTGTGCTCAAGGCAGAGATGGTCCCTTTGGGTGTTTTTCTTGCTCAGAGGGGAGTCGCTCCCAGCTCAGTGAGCAGCAGGACAGGCAGCAAGCCCAGCGTTTACCTCGTGTCCCAGCAAAGCCACATCCATCATGGTTGATGATCAAGCCGAGTGGCCTGGAGCAGGATGGCTCTGGGCTGGAGCAGGATGGCTCAGCAGACACGGTGCTGGTGCCTCACCATGCTCAACCCTTCAGTTTTCAGGCAGCTCAACACCTCGATGGCGGTCTCGCAGATGTCGGCGGTGCAGTGCCGCCTGGCCCCCCTCATCCAGGTCATCCAGGACTGCAGCCACCTCTACCACTACGCCGTCAAGTTAATGTTCAAGCTGCATTCCTGTGAGTGCCAGGGGTTGTGCCCTGTGCTGGTCTTTTCCTGGCTCAGGTTTCTGGCTGGATTCTCAGGGATCAGGAGTGTGTGTGGATGGAGGCGGCTGTCACCATGTCCCCATATCCCAGCTGGGCACTAAGGACTCTCTCCATCCCACCTAGACATCCTAGATGAAGGAGTTAGCAAGGGTTGTCCTTGATGAATCCGAACCTGTGTGCCTTGGCCTGCCAGCCCCCTGCCTGGGGTCGCTGGGCAGCGCGGTGCCAGGGGCCTCGTGTGGGTATTTCGGGGTTCCCACACCCACCTCTCCCCACACCACATCCCCAGTACCTACACTGGGGGACACCCTGCTCCTGTCCCGACCCCTCACGTCCTGCTCTCACCCGGCCTCTGCCCCACAGACTTTTGCAGCCAGAGGGTTTGGGGCGTGGGTGGGTGACTGTGTGGGTGACTCCCCGGATCAGTCAGGGCTGTCCCCTGCCGCAGGTCTGCCGGCCGACACGCTGC